TTATGTAGTTGAGCATAATATTAATTTAGAACATTTCGCTAATTCATCTGGAGGACTTGTGATACTTTCTTTAAAGAGGAAAGTAACTCGGCTAACTTTATCACTTTGTTTTCATCATGTAGGAATTATTTTAAATTAAAAAATGGTTTATCACAACTCTGAATTTTAATTCCAACGTATAATCACGTCGCTTGCAGGTTGTTACATTTCAGACAGCAAAGTCCTAACTCCAACAGGAAAACTGGGAAAATAATCCAAATAAACGAGTTGTTGTGATGTTGTGATCCACGGTCCACCATTCCGCGTTCGTTTAATTTTTCATAAGCGTAGAGGAGAATGTACTTTACCCCCCACCACCACGTTTGGGGCCAGCCCCATGTTGGTTCGAGTGTGGGTCTGGGGCCACGACGAGACGTTCGAAAATCAAGTTGAAACAGCTCCGGCTTTTGTGAACTTCGTTGGTGTAGGGACTTAAACGATCGTTTCATACCCTATTATCTAAATGTTTTGATTTGTTCTAGACCGAAGAAGGTTGCGTTTTTTTCCTGTACGGAGTATTTACAGACACCCAAGGAGAATCACCGCCCGTCTATTGTAGAGATTGAGAATTCGCAGTCACGTGACTACCGCGCCATCTTGGTCAGGGCCACGAGGGTTTACACCAAACTTCTGATAAACATTTGCATTTTTTTACCTTGATTTTCAATCAAAATGCCCTCAAGTAACCCTTTGCCACCTAAAGAAAACGCCCTTTTTAAGCGAATTTTGGTAAGTGATTTCATAATTTACTTGCATTCCAAAACTCTTTCCAAAATTGCAAGGTTAAGGTCATGATAAGGAATACTTGATTTTACCGAAGATATTTGGTCGTTCATTATTTTGTAACCACCGATTAATGACCTCTAAGGCTAAGTATAAAAAGATTGATCTACTGTCATTTATGGAATATTATCTTAACGTGAAAACCTGCCTGGATACGGTGTGCCTTGATACTGCTCCATAACCTTATCAATGTTTTGATTGTACCGGCATTTCCGCGCGGGTTTCAATTCCATTCATGGAGTGTTCTGCCGGCACTAGCATTGACAGTTTTATTAAATTCCTGGCAATATAGTGTTATAATACTGTTTCAGTTCTGTCCCTGGTGTTTTGCCCACACCAATTTTATGACATTACATTGGGGAACCTAACCTGGAAGGATACCACTATTTTTCCTGAATATTTTTACTTCCGATTCTTTCCGACGATAAATTCCCATTCATGTTGATTTGGAATGAATTAATTTGAATTTTCATTTTTCTGAATTGTCAATCGAATTGTATTTGGAGATCTTGACCTATTGTCATGGCAATTTTAGTACTCCTTGTACATTCAATTTCCTCCTGTTCTTCTATGTCTTTTTTGTGTAGGACCATATTTGTGAATTATATGTACCATGATCACCTAGTTTTTCGTTTGTCTGTTGTCTCAACACACATTTTACCTTTTCACAGAAATGCTACGAACACAAGCAGTACAAAAATGGGCTGAAATTTGCAAAGCAAATTCTAACCAACCCAAAGTATATGGAACATGGAGGTAAATATGCTTTGCTATTAACTGATTTTGTTGTGTTTGTTTTAAATGTTTAACTTATATCTCTCTCTAAATTTCAGAAACTTTGGCTATGAAAGGGCTGACTTTGAATTGCTTGGGCCGTAAAGAGGAAGCTTATGAATATGTAAAACGAGGTCTTCGCAATGACCTCCGTTCACATGTTTGCTGGCATGTTTATGGATTGCTTCAGAGGTCTGACAAAAAGTATGATGAGGGAATCAAATGCTATCGGAATGCTCTCAAGTGGGAAAAGGATAACATCCAAATCCTTAGAGATCTGTCCCTTTTACAAATTCATTTGCGTGACCTTGAAGGCTACAGAGATACAAGATACCAGCTATTTCGTTTGCGACCCACTCAAAGGGCCTCATGGATTGGGTTTGCTATGTCATACCACTTACTTGGAGACTATGAGGGTGCTTTGAAAATTCTTGAAGATTTTCGCAAAACTCAGTCAGAAATTCCTGTAAGATGCTTTAAATAATTTTAATTTGCTTGAGTATTGTTAGGGAAATTGAACTAAAACATTTTTCTTCTTTTCTTTCTAGAGCTCTTTTGACTATGAACATTCAGAACTTCTTCTCTATCAGAACATGGTTATTCAAGAGTCTGGTGCCTTGAAAGAAGCTGTAGCACATTTGGAGCAGTACCAAGATCAGATTCTAGACAAGCTTAGCATTCTAGAAACTTTGGGTAATGATTTGAATCTTTTTTTTTATCTTTGACATGGATAACTCATCTTGTTGTTACTTATCTTTGAATTTTCTGGACCCCCAGGCACTTTGTATCTGGATCTTCAACGTTTTGACCGAGCTGAATCAGTTTATTCTGAGTTAATTAAGCGTAACCCAGAAAATACTATGTATTTCAGCAAGTATCTTCAAGCTAAACAGCTGACTGATGTTGATGAGATTGTTGACATTTTTGAAATGTTTCAAAGACAATTTCCAAGAGCTCATGCTTCTAAACGTCTCTCCCTGAATTATGCAGTTGGTATGTAAAATATTTGTATCAAGAATTCTTTTCCTTTTTTTCCCTTTTGATTATTTCATCTATTGTTTTTTCTGTAGAGGGTAGGTTCAGGAAATTAGTTGATACCTACTTGAGACATGGACTGCACAAAGGAGTACCTCCTCTATTTGTTGATTTGCGATCACTGTACAAAGTGCAAGCAAAGGCTGACACTATTCAGGACCTTGTTTTGTCATATGTTGATCAATTGAAGAAGACAGGCCACTTTTCTCAAGCTGGTGGGTATAATTGTTGTCTGTTATGTAACTTGTGTAATCTAAACTACATAGTTTTCATATTGGACCACTATCTACCTCTGTTGTTATTAACTCTCCAGTCACATGTAGTATTAATTGTGTTTTTGTTTTTGTTTTTTTGTAGATGCTGATGCAGGTCTCCCAAAAGAGCCAGCATGTGCTCTCCTTTGGACGTATTATTTCCTAGCACAGCACTTTGATTTCTTGGAAGACACAGACAAAGCCCTCTTCTATATTGATGCTGCAATTGACCACACCCCAACACTCATAGAGCTGTTTGTGTGCAAAGGTAGAATATTTAAGGTACGTGACATACTATCTACTTGCCTTGTGTTGGGTCGGTAGCACCTGAGTACGATCCGTTAAATTTATAATTGACTGTAATTTCAATTGTAAATATACTGTTTTTTCCAGCATGGTGGCGATGTGATGAAAGCCTTTAAATACCTAGATGAAGCTCAGGGGTTAGATACAGCTGACCGATATATCAACTCTAAATGTGCAAAGTACATGCTTCGAGCCAATCTCATTGATGAAGCTGAGGAAACATGTGAAAAGTTCACCCGAGTAAGTATATCTTCCCATTAAATACAGGCTTGACTAATAACCATGTACTTATTAGTTCCAAAGATTTAACAAAGCAACTGCTTGGTATTTCAGGAGGGAGTTACAGCAATGGAAAATCTTAATGAAATGCAATGCATGTGGTTCCAAACTGAGTGTGCCCTTGCATACCAAAGACTGCAGAGATGGGGTGATTCTTTAAAGAAGTGCCATGAAATTGACAGGGTAAGGAGCATTGAAGGTTTCTCTCCATTGTCTCCACTTGCTTACATTTGTTTGTAACAAAAATCATTTTCCATAGCACTTTTCGGAAATCATCGATGACCAATTTGATTTCCACACATACTGCATGCGGAAGATGACACTCCGCTCTTATATGGGCCTGCTTCGATTAGAAGATGTTCTTCGCTCTCATCCTTTCTATTTCAAAGCTGCTCGTTGTGCCATTGAGGTTTATCTCCATCTCTTTGAAAATCCCTTGAAGGACGTCACTGCAGAACAGGAGCTGAACACAGGTGAGTCATAAGCTTGCTCCTCTGGGGTGGGGTTGATGTGGTAGGGTCACAGTCTGTTGCCGTTATCATTGAGCTTATTGAAGGAAATAAGCTATCTTAAATTAATCTAAGATCTTCTTATTTTTTTGTCTTTAAAACTTGTGGTGGTGGAGGTTGGGTATGTAAGATGGGGATGAGAGTTGATTGATTGACAGGTTTAAGTGTGTTTTATTTTATTGTGTTCACGTTTCCTCATGGTAATATGGGCAGCAATCGAACAATTGAATGAATGATGCATCTAATATTCTTAGCATGAAATATCAATTTTTCATATTAAACCAGTAGGGTTTGTCTCTCTGAAGCTGTTTGCTGCTTTGTGCAAGTCAAGAGTGGCGCCTTTCGGTCTTTAGAATGGTTCTCTTGCATTGTGCTTGAATTATTTAAATGATCGTACGAAAGCTTTATAGTCAACTAGTCGTGTTGAAGAATACTTTACCCTAAATGTAGGTATCTCAATGAAAATTTGTGGTTTATTGTTGTTTCTCACAGAACTTTAGTAATACCACTGTCGACTTGAACAAAACATTCCAACATTAAAAGTATTTGTGTGTTCATGTTCAGAGGCAGCAATATTCATACTCTCAGCCAAAGTTGCAAAATTTCATATTTTCATAAAGTTAAAATTTAGACATCAGTGGCTTACCTGTTGAGACCAAATATACCTCTACACATGTGGCATAAGTCATACTGTACAGCACACACACAAAAACTTAGTGTCATTCGATAAATGACTCAAAATTTATTTGTTGCCTGAAACCTCCGTAACAAGCTCTCTCTTCATTTTTTTAAAAGTAGATTTGTAAATAATACATTTACATTTATGGCGAATCAATATCACTTATTTACAAGGATTTTATTTTCAAAGGTAGCTCATGGCAATAGCAAAATTGTTAAATAATTTACATCAATGTACATTTTCAACTCTAACTTTAGATGAAATCAAGTGTGAAGGCAAGAACATTGAAATTACTGAAATACTTGAAATATTTACAAAACGAGTGTATTGAAGAGCACAGATCAACAAAAGGCACATTAGTGAAAGATTTCAATGGAAGTTTCTAAGTTTCCTTTACATCCTATTTCAGAATTCCTAGTAATAAATAATTGTCTTCTTTTCTCTGAACAGGATATCTTTTCTTACTCTTTGTTACATGCTGGAATCCCACTCAATTTTCAGTTAGGTCAACTCTCGTGGATTCTGTCAGCATTTAAAACAAAGTAAAGAACATAGTAGCATTACAATGTTAATCACATCTAAAACGCACAAATTTTCCTGTCACTCAGACTTGCCCTATTTCTTTCATCTCACTCCTCAGTCCAAGGGCTGTGTTTCATCATACCTCTAAGCTTTACACAGCTCTTTGCAATTAGAAAACTAGAAGTCCGTGTCTCTGGCCGCACATTTCTTGTCATTTTTATTTTGTTTAATGAAAAGTCGAGGCGGCTCCGTCTAGCGGAGCATGGAATGTCTCTAGGCCGCGGACGTGTCATCTGCGCAAACTAGACGAGTTGATTTGTACGACTGTTGGGACCCGGCAATAAGCGCCGACATGATGCTAGCAGTCTTGGTTATCACCATCACCTGTCGCGGTGATCGCTGCGCTCGCGGCGCTCGCGGCGCTTCCTTCGGTCCCGCTCCCGCTCGCCGCGCGGCGCCCGCCGCCGGTGCTGCCGCTGCTGGCCGGGGTGCTGCGCGCGCTGCGGCGTCAGGAAGTAGAAGTGGCCGCCGTTGCCCGGCAGCTGGTACGAGATGAAGGCGTTGCCGGGCGCGTGGCCGTGGCCGGCGGGGCCGGGCGTGGCGGGCTGCTCGATGATCTCGGCGTCGGGCTCGAGCGCGGGCAGGGGCCGCCGGTAGTTGACGAGGGTGTCGTCGGCCAGGGACACGATGGGGACGAAGCCGCCCTCCGGCTCGGGCTGGTGGTGCTGGAAGGGGCGCGGCGTGCTGCTGGGCGGCAGCGGCGTCGTGACGCGCACGGGCGCCAGCGGCAGGGGCGCCTTGCTGACGTCGTCCTCGGCCGCCACGCCGCCGGCGTCCTCCTCTACGCCCTGGCTGGCGGCGTGCTGGTGCGGCAGCTTGCGCCCAAACATGGAGAAGTA